AAGCCTTCACACAAAGTAAAACAAACTTCTGGTGTTGTTCCAGTAATGGCTTCCGAACCAGAGTTGCCAGAGCTTATTTAAATGATATAAATTCAAAATAAATATTGTAAGGTAAGTGACATGTATAAAGTAACTCAAGACGATTTTAAATTGTAATTTCTTACGATAATTCTTTATTAGTATAATTTTCATTGTCAATCATTTGTGAAATTTGTTAATAAATCAAACAATTCTGAAAAGCCTCTTAGACAGCGTTGGACATACAATAGAAAATAATTATTAAAATCTATTTACATTGTATAAAGTTACTTAAAATATTAATGAATTTAATACTGGATATGAAATTCTAATTAAAAAGATAGAAATTTCAAAGCTTCTGTTATTATAGCAAATTAATTATGTATGTAAAATATAAATTTCAAGAGCTCAAGCAAATGATAAATAGCAAATAAGATGTTCCTATTATAAGCTACGGTCAGAACCAAACTGCAACTTTCAAAACGCTAAAGGTCTAAAAAATTTTGTACATATACTCCTATATAATCACATCTTGAAATACACCACGAAGCGTTAATCTCAAGTAGCATGAATTTAAAAAAAATTATGGAGTAATAACTAACTGACGACACTACAATCTTTGCTAATAACATAAATACATCATATCAACTACTTCAAAAAATAAATGAAAAAGGTCTTGAATATGAATCTAGTATTAATGTAAATAAAACCAAGTACATGATTGTATCTATAAATAAAATAATGTACACAGTCACGTGAATATCTACATTAATAACAAATTAGTTGAAAAAGTATCTTGCATCAAGTACTTGAGATGTTGGATAGGTGATAGCTCGCAAAGCGACAATTAAACTCGCTGTCGTATAGGTTCAGTGAATTAAGTTTTTATAAGTACGAAAAACTTTCCTGAAGTTAAAATATAAAACAATCAGTAATATTCTAAGTATTACATTTGCTCTGTACTGATATATGCTAGAGAGGATTAGTCGTTGGTAAAGTCCATGAAACAATTTAAAGCATTTGAGATGTGATGCTCTCGGCGAAAAAGTAAGTAATGAAAACATCTTACGAATCGATAATTCTATATAACCGATAATTCTAAGTACGAGTTGCTACAGTTCAAATCACAAAGCAAAATTGAAATGCATTCTATCAAAATCGTATCAAAAGAAAGCAAATGATTGATTTTGAATGTGATCGCTAATATTTGTTTTGAAAAATAAGTTTAGAAGTGGGAACCAGAAAAATAATAATCATCACCTTACATTGTTATATATTTCTGAGAATAATATTTATGTGGTGAACGTTTTCGAATTTTTTATTTTTTTGTTCCCTTTTGGTTTAACTTAGAGATTTTTTGTTAGCCGATAACAGTCCGTAATTTACTTTGATAGTCATATTCGCTGATCATATTTAACTTCGGTGATAATTTTTGGTGATCAGTTTCGGTGATTATTTTTGGTGATCAGTTTGGGTAAGCATCTACGTTCATTAGCTTAGCTAAGCATCTTCGTTCATCAGCTTAGGTAAGCATCTTCGTTCATTAGCTTCGGTGATCTTTTTCTGTGATCATCTTCGGTGATCTTTTTCTGTGACCATCTTCGGTGACCATCTTCTGCGATCATCTTCGGTAACCATATATATTAAACACGCTCTATGATTATAATTATTGAATATGTTCTGTGATTATGTTAGTTAAATATGTTCTATGATTATATTTGTTGATCATATCTGTTGATCATATTTGTTGATCATCATCGATGATCATTTTTGTTCATCATCATTTGATATTTATCCTCGGTGATTATATTCGTTGATCATCTCTGGCAATCATTTTTGGTATCGTGGAGATTAGTTTTGATACTTATTTTTCGTGGTTATCTTATTAATACTATAATCAAAAAATCAAAACGATTGACCGCATATATTATAGAAGCATTATTAAGAAGGCTGTGACCAATTCCGACATAGCTGCATATGAATTTTATTATCCAAATATAATAATTTGTCATTAATTATGTATATTTAATCATTGGAACTACAGTGTTATCCTAACTTGTCAAAAGAATTATTGTTTATTTTAAGCAGGTTCTAATCAGCTGATAAAGTTGCTTTGAACTTTTGATATTGAAAAGGATTAGATGACAGTATTTTATTTGACAATATTTGACTTACTTTGAATGGTTTCATCTATCTTCATGATTAATCTATTGGAGATAGTTAAATTCTGAATATTTTTTACAAACCAAGAGGAGAGTTTATCAATTTTCGTCTTAGTTGTTTATATAAAAGCCAACCTTGATATATCGACGCTGGCCTAATTAAATTTGCTTTAGTCCAAGGTAAGAATTGATCAGGTCTTATCTTGAGAAAAATACAGATAAATAAAAATCAAAAAGGTTTTATGCCTTACAGACTTTTGAAGGATCAATATATTTAATATATTCTAATTTGAGCATACAACAGATTTTAGTTGAAAAATAGACACGAAAAATAAATGACGATTTGATGGTTCTACATGGAAATATAAATTTAAGAAATTGCTGTTGCTATATATTGCAATGTTCAATATATAAACTACTGGTAACTCTACGCTTGAGATAATGGGAGGGGAGAACTGCTTAGTATGTTTCTCGCAATCGTATGGGCATAAGGAAATTAAAGTAACTTGCAAAAATATTAAATGGTTGCTTTCTGAACTCTCAGGAATTGTCTTAGTTTAATGCCACCGTAGTTGGCATAACGACAAACCGAATAATTACACCAACCAGGACAATACGATTAAGTGCCATTTGTATACCATCCCAAGGATCTATGTATATTTGTTTATGTGTGCTTATTGTGCTTTATTTACTTAATAAGTTATATCATTACATTTCTACAAGTGTTTGTATATAAAGTTTACATAAAAACTACGAAACTGTAGAGAAGTACAGAAACAGTAGGTGATAAGGATAATTTACTTTAGTGCAAAGGACACTCAAGAGACTTTATAAATTTAGGGTGTGTCGTATTCATAAATTTGAAGTTCAATATATATGCACTTACAATATTTTTTAAGTCCCTGACAAATAGTTCCTAAAAGTTTTCATTGTAATAAAATTAAAAAGCAGATTAGAAAATAATCAAAAACTAGAACAATTAAAAATTGAGGGTTGAGAGAAAATTAAATGCAATATAAATTTTAATTGTTTTTAGTACAAATAAAATAGTAGTTCAATGTATGGAAATACGTAAATCAAATAAATGACAATAGTTATAGTTCTTAAAAAATAGCGCTATTAATATACTTGATTATAACTTGAGATAGTCGTGTTGAAGTAATCAATTGTTGACAACCCGATTGATCGGCAGAGTATTATGCAGAGTGTTTCCTATTGGTATTGGTATGAGAATAGTTGAAGTGTGGCTGATATTTTCAGTATTAACTGGAATAGAAGGCAAAAATATATAAAGTCACTTAACCCAAATTATCTTAAATATGGTTCCCTCAAATACTATTAATCGTATATTAGTGTGGTTGGTTAATTATCTTTTGACTTGATAGTTATTATTTACGGTTATTCGCACTCGATATGTTCAAAATTAATAGTACTTTGAAGTTTTTTAAAAATGACATATATCTTTTATTTATTTTCGATTATCAATATCTTATAATAACTTAAACAATTTTTGAGAAGCAATTTTTCTTGTATGACTCACCGCGTTCCCGAAATCGTCCTTTGATTAGAGGATCGCGCTACCCATTATTTTAATTAAAAAAGTAATAGTTGTGTAAATATACGACATAAAAGCATAATAAAATTTAAAAATTAATTTGAGAAATATGTCATTTTCCAAAATTTTGATATTTAAAAAAAAATAAGGGCTTTTGGAAAAGCCATAGTTGACTAATTCACAAAGCGAAAAGTGAGCATCATCACTGAAAAAAAATCGATGTGAAAAATCAACATCCAGATTCTGTTGTTCACACATTGAATTACTGTATATTGTACACATGACATAGTCTGCCGACTTCAATTCATATGTAAACTCGATTTTATAAGGATGGAGATGTAAGTCAATGGATTTTAACGTGAAATAATTTAGGCCTAAGCGCTATATACACCATATTGTGGATGTAGTTTACATCTTCTTCGAAACAATCAAAAACAGCAATACATTTCCAGCGTTGAAATGATTTTTAAACCTTAATACATCCGCGATAATTCCAGTTGCCTCATAATTCTTTACAGTTTTATCCGAAATGGGCACGATCGTGTTAACCATACCCTCTTCGTAATGCATGACACATACCAATTACAGAATATCAATTTTGTAGTAAGCTTTCAGCATTTAAACACGTTCAGCGCTTGTTAAACGATTTATATTGCACAATGGTAAACTAGGTATATGCTGCCATGAACGAAAGTTTTGTTGAAATATATGTATTACTGATAAATTTGCATCAAAATTAGTACCACTAAGTGGATAACTCTCTATAAATGGAATTATTGCGGTTCAATAGTGATTTTTGTTAATGATATGAGGACATAAGAAACATAATTATAAAACGATTGTTTACAAATAAAATGTTAAACTAGTTTCTAAGTTATAGATACTTCTATTGTAGGATTATCTTATAGTGAATTCAAATAATTTGTTTAAAAAAAGTTATTAATATTTTAAGCAATGCCTTAACTAAAATATGAATAAGAGTCACTTTTACCTGGTAAAATTGTTTATAATTTTCAAAATGTGTTTTTTGCTAAATAATAATTCGGTTGAAAAATATGATGCAGATTTAATATACTTTCTAGAAAAGGAATCAGGATTTGTGTAACCAAAAGAAAATAGCTTTGAATTAAGTTTTATGTAGAAGCAAAATTTATTGCTCTACAAATTCGAACTAAACTTAAAAGATCTTAGTATTCAATGACTTTGTTCTTTGTAATTTTTAATATAAAATTAACTTCACAGAATATAAATTATCACAGAAAAAGTATTTCAAAATTCTCTCCTGGAAAAATTCCATTCAATTACTTCTTTTGGCTTCTCAATTTGGTCAAAATTTATTTGAATTGTACTTTGTTGCACATGTTTTCCTGAAATGCAGTAATTGGTCGAAAATAATAAAGATGATTGAAGAGGACGAGAGTGGAGTGTCTACCCAAATGTTATCAAGTAAAAAAACAGATAATCAATATCTAACGAAAATAAAGGAGGTTGAATGCGCATTGGTAAATACCTTTACAGAAAGTGATACAAAATGGAGCTTGTTTGTGACTGCAGCCTACAGTTATGATTATGAAATAGCAGTAAAACCATTTCTGCCAGAATTCATTACCAGTATGGACCAACTATTTGATATAATATGGCAAACCCCAAACCTAAAACTTTTACGGTCATATATCCAAGAAATTAACTACTCATATTGTAAAAAGGATGTTATATTATTATTACATTGGATTTTAATTTCTTCGAATTCGCCCAAATTAGAACTGATCAAAGACCCAGACTTTGTGGAATTTTTAGCTCATATACAGGATGGCGGGCCTATCACTGTGCCTACATTTGCATTCAAGATTAATTATGCCGATAATGATGAAGAAAACCATAACTTTGAGAACAAAAGTGCGGAATATGGCAGTATGACCGCATTTTACACCTGTGAACCATATTTCGTATATAAGTTACTATACCATGGTGTTGATATGGGTGTTAATAATTCTAAAGAGCTTATACATCTTACAAATCTGATTTCTATCGCATTGTTAAAATCGAAACGTACACCTTTTTGGGGAAAATCATGCTGTGGCCATGTCTTCAGATCAGTTGCTGTTGCAGAATATATTCATAACGAAAGGTTCGTTCAACATAGATTTCGTACGAATCCTAACCGAGTTGATATTTATGCTCGAATTCCTCAAGTTCGTTTACGATACCTTCTATTATACACAGAACAATTGCGCTATATACCAGAATCAAAGAAAGGATTAACAGTTCTTAGCAGAAATAAAATACTATTTGGTTGTGTTGTGATGTTAGCAGGTGTTGGATGTTATATATGTATAAAACGTTTAGGATATTCTTTTAAAATCAAAGATGTATTAATATTTGGTTACAAGTCTGTAGGATTTTCAAGAGTTGAATGGTGAACATTTATGAATCAGAAATAACCTTTTTCTTTTACAAAATCATTTAGTTCAGAATACAATGTAACTCATAAAGGTAAGATATTATACTTACAATATTTATTTAATGCCAGTTTACTATAGTAATAATAATAGTTTCATCTTAATAACTAAAAGCTTCTTTTTTCTTTTTTATTATTTTATTATCTATATTATAACAAATATTGAATAGGTAAACACTGCTAATGTTATCTTTTGTATTATTGTTAGTTAAATGTTTTATTTCATTTTCAACATCAATAAAATTTTTTTATTTCTTTTAGATACCTGTAGTAGTTCACTGATCCCAGCAACTGTTAGAAAAAGCACAAATTTCAAACCAAAATGAAACCCTATCCAAATAGCGTGTTGTTCATGAAAGCTTTTCTGGAATTGGATATATTCTAATAGATACTATATAGACACAGTCAAATATTTAAGAACGTAAAATCAGACCATATGAAATGCAACTTAGTACAAAATGCTTTTGGAAATAGCCTTTATATTAATTTTTTTGTAAGCCAAATAATAAATTGTTTAGTTTGTTAAAACATGAGAGTTGTTTCTTTAATAAATTATCAGTGTATTATCCTAGTCTCTGTTTATTTTTAAAGACAGAGACGCACAGATCGTACTGTAACTGGTTGATAATAGGTTGATTACAATAACTGTTTTTAATAGCCAATTTGTGACAAAATTTAAGATTAAAGTTCAAATTGATGAAAACTGTTTGATTATGTAGAGACTTCTATGCAACTGCCTGAAAGCGCTAATCTCAAAACCAAATATTATTAAGATTCTATACCTAAACACCCAGTAATTTAAATATAAAGTTCCTCAATATTATATGCTAGCTTGATTTAGTCATACATTGAAAATACACAATTAATTCACATCAGTTATAAACAAAATCTTTCATTTACATTATTCATCATCATCTAATTAATCTTACATAAAGAATATTTGAATAAGAGATATACATTTGATTCTTCAATCAATTATTTGTATATCGTTTTAGTCGACATTCCATAATTTATGCCGTAAAATAGATTTGACAGGTTCTTGTATTAATCTTAATTGATGATAATCACAATCAACTCACCCAGCTATAGATTTTTGCGGATGTTTACATATCTCATAAACAGCATGTGCTTATCGTATGATCAAAATATTACAACTTTGCTTATTTGCAAATGATACTTATAATAAAAAAACTCGATTTTTATGTAGAAAGAGATCTTTTTAGTGCGCACTTTATAGCCCACTATAGATACTTTTAGCAATACTTTTATTGGGTAACACACACAACTTCACAAATTCTATCACAGAAGCTTTGGAATAATAAGCTGACTATGCTGATCACATAGGTTATATATATCACAAAGTGGTTGTAGCATAAATGTTTTTATGTACATATTTTAATATTTCCAATAAAAAAATATATATGCAGACAATTCCTTACAGGCAGATCTATATGCCCTGGTATATGAAAAATGGTAACAAATATAAAAAACAATAGGAAAAGGTTTGAGCTTAATTTGCACCATATGCGAAAAGGGATATGGAAGGAAAAAAGCTTCAATGTTATAGCTATAAGTCAATTTTTATCATATTTTAAAATAAAATGATGTTAATTGCAAAAAAGTTAACCTCATAGTAATGGCATATATAATAAACAACTCAGTAATTAACGAAACAATAAGAAGAGTTATAAGAAGAAGACAATAAGGATAAATAGCTACTTACAGATCGATAACCTGGAATATTATAAAAATAGATGCAAAAATCTTTCAAATCTTTGAAATAGAAGAACAAATTCCCACAAGTACTACAAATAGAGAAATCAAAAACTTACTATGAAATTAAAATATTGTTTAAGTTTAATCGGCTACTCACATTATATTATATGCCCGGACATTGAGAAAAATTCGAAAAGTAATTGCAATGCTAAACCTATGACGCTCAACAATTTATGGAAGACAACACAAAACTGAATGGGAATATAATGGTTTTCAAGAAGGGAAGACGAACAGAAAAGAGAAAGAAAAAGCAAATTATTAAAATTAATCCCATATGGTGTATTAAACTGATACATATAATTTAACAAAAAAAATTATTTAGTGAAACATATTAACTAAAACAAAAGTATGTACATTTATATATCGCGAATTTTTCCAACACCTAAGCATTTCCACAATTTGGATAAACAAGAAAAAATATATTAATTAATTAAAAGTGTATACAATGTTTGAAGATGCAGTTAGCATTTTTATTGTCTTGTTATCCTTTATGTCCTGCAACTCAACATAAAAAGACACAATTGTTTAGTTTTAATTATTTGAAGAGAAGCAGACTAAGCGATCGCTTAGTGATCTTGAAAAAATTCACCGTGATTCTTTGACCGTAGAAGAAGAAGCAGATTAAAATTAATCACATACGGTGTATTAAACTGAGATATATAATTCAAAAAAAAAAATAATTTAGTGAAACATATGAACAGAGGTATATATATTCTGTAAAATGAAGGAATTTCAGCTTGATCAACTCTAATTGCTATAATTGAAATGGTTCAAATCATAGTATAATATTATCTAAGACAATAATAGTGGATACTTTTATAATGATACAAGTAACAACATACTAGAGCACAAATTCTTTACTATACCTTACATATTTAATTATTTTTTTATATATATTTTTATGATTTAAGGCTAATTATACTACCTCTACAATATAAATGAATACTGTAATGTAATTTAAATTTCATTCTTTTATTTGAAAACTAATAAAGTGAAACATCCATAAAACATAAAATAAAAGGATATGGACAAATAAATGTTAATTATAGAATCGAAAGTAAAATAACAAGAAAATCCATAATGTCATTTTCAATGTGCTTTATTTTAATACTTTTGCATAAAATATAAAAAATTAATCCTGTATAAATAATTAAACTTACGCAGAATTAAATAGTACGAAAGTATGCTTACATTTCCTAAAGTAAAAATATTCTTACACCTAAAGCCTAAAGTCTACGGCAAAAGTGAAACGATAAAGGTAGTTGCCAGGAAACGGAAAACGTAAGTAATGCGCACAGGAGCCCGACGTACTTAAGGCATTACATAGCCAAACGTTTATTAACATTTAATTAAATTTATTTCAATAATAAAATAAGAGAAGCCCAAAAATAATTCGCTTCCTTTTGAGTCCTTGTTTTTTCACTTAAAATGCTGTTTCCTTACGAAAATAACAAAAATGACAACGTTTTTTTTATATTTTTATTAAATTCATTTTATTTAATTTTTCAGAAACTTTTCTTTTTCGCAGATACGAGTATCAAATTGACCGTTTTTATATATATTTTGCTGTATCTTCTTTTCATTTTTATTTTTATGGATATTTTTTTATATATTTCCTTTTTATTTTCTTCAGAAGTAGCTGCGTACGGAATATATATGCGTATTGCCTAGAGCCTCTGAAACCTTTTGTAATGGTACTTATAATATTTAATTATGGGCTTTTACTTAACTTCTGCTGCTGAAAACTGAAAAAGTAATATTAAATTATTCAACTTCGTTTGTTTTTTTTTTGTTTTCGTAAATCAAGAAGTCTTATAAATTCTTGTAATTTTTTTGCATACCCTCAGTTAGAAAATATTTTAATTGAAACTTTTACGAACTTTTTTCAATATTCGTAAATTAATTCTTAAATATTTTAATTATTTCGATGCAAAAATAATGTCATTATATTATTTCTACCGTCTGGTTTTTTAACATAAAATATATTCTTTTAATTTTATGATGAAATAATAAAAATCGAACAAAGATATTTGATAAAAATAATTATTTCCAATTATAAATATAGTAAAACTAATTAATACATATAAATAAATGAAAAAAAAGGCTTATATAAATTATGTGTTATAATTTTATTTTGTAGATCTTTCAACTTTAGTCTTAAATCATCATCAGAAGAAAAAAAAATTTGACTATTTTACTTGAAAAAAAAACACTTTTATTAAAAACGTTTGGTCACAAAATAATTAATAGGTATATAAATAAATGAATACATTTCAAATAAGGCCAATAGTTAAAGAGTTATAAAAATATTTTTGGTATTAGCAGTACTAAGTAAACTGTAAAAAATAATTATTTTAATTTTACTTAATAGAAACTGTTGTATTCGATAGAAAGGTTTTGAGTGAATTACAACAACAAAATTGTTTATTATATTATTTTTATTTAATTAAATTTTTGGCTGATCATACAGCTGTTTCGAGTATTGCCAAATACCCTACATCAGTG